TTAAGTATTCAAGATAGAGCTGCTGAAGATGCAGTTGTTGAGGAGTTAACCATTAGCACTGACAGTAATACAGCGGGAGCTTTTGCTCCTAATCCTGCAATGCCCAAGCAACATCCCAGTTCATACATGATAGAAGGTAGCATGTTTATTACAATATTATTTAACATTTCTTGATAATAGTACAAATTTGCTAGTTGCTACCTGTAGTATACACTTGTAAAAGTAATTGCATTAATAGCTTTTTTGTATAGATGAGGATTTATCAGAAGCAGCTAGCAAACTTACAGAAACTGATGTTGCTCAACTATTAAAAAGAATGGGATTGCATGATAGTGCTGAATTTGTTCAGACAACTGGAATCAGTGGAGACATAGTCTACTCCCTTTTGACTATGCCATCACCAGATTTAAAAGAACTACAAATACCCAACAGAATTTATGAACTGAGGTTCCAGGTTCAATTTAAAAGACTTTTAGAGAAAAAGGAGCTGGAGCATGTGTTTTCTTCTGAACTGTTAGCACAATTTTTGATGGAGAATAAACGATTTAGTCAATATGCAAAGGTAGATTGTTAACTTGGTACTGCTAAAAATAATTTACTGCCAGTTTGAACATTGTTGTTTGTTTAGCCTCAATTAGCAAAACATTTAATTTTTGAATTTAGCTAATGAAAGTATTTGTATGTAAAAATAATAGATTTATTCACTTTTATAGGTCGTTCGAGAAAATGAACTTGATGGAGAAATGCTGTTGCTTGCAAGTGATGATGTTTATCGTGACCTTGGCATTTCATCACTCTATCAGGTTTTAATTAAAAAAGAACTTGAAAAGAAATTAAAAGATTTTTAAAATCATTGTTTTATGATTTTATGAATTCTATAGTTAAAAAAATAATGTTGCAAGTTGTAAAAAGCAATTGTAGGCATTCAAAGATACTAGACAATGGGCTGCTGTGTTTTCCAATCTTCTGTACTCAATCAAAGCTTATTTGAGATTTAATTGTTGTTGTCCGGGGCACTCTATTAAGAGTAATGTACTGATGTGATGATCAGTATATTTTGCAATGAATTTGAAACTACTAGATGTGGGTATCTAGTAGAAGAGCATATTGCTTCTGCAGTCAAAAGCAGTGATTGTTGTTTACTGAAGAACTCCCAAAAGTACTGCTCTTACATTGACATGTGTCTTTATGACTGGACCATATTTACAGTTGACAACTGAGGGTGGGATGATAATTGTTGCAGTTGCAAAAGAAAGGGGCTCATTCCCTCAATCGATAGTGGATTTATGATCAATTCAAGCTATTAATTGTATGCAATTTTGATGTGAACAAATATATAGGTCTGTTTCTCTATATTCAAGTTAAAACATTTTGGATTTATTCATGTTCAACACCTTGAGGTTTACTTGAAGATATGTTGCATAATCTCATGTATATAGCCCTTCTAAATTTAGTTCTTAGATTATTGATTCCTTAATTTGATTACTGAATATCATGGTACCATTGTACATCTGTTGCACATCTGTTACAAGAATCAGCTTCATGTCATATTTCACTAAATCAACCTCAAATTTCCTTTGTCTAATTTTTAGAAATATCCAGCAAAATACACCTTGCGTCTTACTTCTCAATGTGACCATGTCTTAATGATGTGCTTTCAAAAGTTACAAAAAATATTTGGGTACAAATTCTTTAGCTCCAATCAAAATTAAAATTTTTACCAATTTTAAAATTACTCCAAAAGCCATGTACATTTATGTGCATTGCTTGTAAGCTCATATAGAGTGTACTGCTTAGCTCACTTAGCACAATTTGTGGCAAGCCATGTTTTATGACACCTGAACAATCCTTTTAGAGCAATGATGCATCCGCTATTCATTCAAATTAAACATATTTGTAATTAAAGTTACTTTAGCATGATATAATTGTAATTATAATTCAGTCTATAAAAGGAGTGTAAGATCTAATTGAATAGGTATTGTAACTAAGTTTTTTGTAATTAGCCAAAAAAGTCTGGAATGAACGTGCATTACAACAAGTAGCTAGATTTATATACCTAGAAATGAATAGTCTATTATTACTATTGGTATACTAGATTTATTATGCTATCTATATATTGAGTAATGTTAATTAGTATCAATTTAATGCTAGGTTACTCTAATGGAAATTGCAATTAGGCATGTTGTTTGTTCCTGCTTACACAGACCACAGCTGGAGCATGAACACTGAAACCAGATGTTTTATAGTTAGCTGTATAAATAAAACAAGTTATTGTTCCAAGTTATTGCTTGTACAAAGCAGATGAGTATAGATCTAGTTGTTTTTAGAACATTTGTGTATGGAATGACATTGTCTCAGCGAAGGGGCTGAGTGATGAGACTAGGAATGACATAAACACAATGATCAACTCATAAAAATGCTGGACAAAATTAATGAATAATCTGGTGTGTATGATAAATAGTATCATAATGAGCAAAAATAGAGGCATCTAATATATAAATGAATAATAGACTGCATAACAGATAACAACATCGGAAGTAACTGCATAACATGGCACTATAATAAATTGAACATTATTATTTGTTTAAGAGGATAATGAATTGTTTATATAGTTACTTCCGTTGATTAACTTATTTAAAAGGTTTCAATACAAACATCTACCGACAAAAAGGCAAGATGTTTTTTGCTGTAATTTTGTGTCTCACATACTCACTTCATTTTTCAATTCAAAGTAAGTATATAACACTATAAAACAGAGAAGCCATTATTTTTACTATTTTAGGT